TCAGTAGTCTAAGGTTGAGAAACTGCCCGAGGGATATATTTTTGTGTCCCAAGTGGTACTTGTGTTAGGTGGAAGTTTGTCCTTGAACCAATATTGCAATTTAGAATTAATAGAATCATAAGCACAGAAAGGGACCCTAGAGGTCACATTTAAACCTTATCCTAACTTGTATCCCTCAGAATAGTGTAAGGCAAGATATTAATAAGTGTAATGAATAAGAAGTGTTTGTTAAATTAGTTTGGTAGAGGCAAACATTTGAGTATTCAGTGTCAAGTGCATTGTGAATCTCCATTAGGAAAGTTTTTCCCACATGTGTTTGCCTGCTGAACCCGTCTGACATCTTCAGTCTCCAAAATGCTCTCTTGAAACTGGAGATTCCATTAATGCCTAGCCCAACCTTTTATAGAGTTAAAGGACCTTGATTAGATAGCCCCTCTCCTTTGTCTCTTTAAGTTTACTGCAGAATCTTAATCTGTGTCTGTGACAGCAGGTACATTTGCTCCATCTGTGTTTGTCCAATTGTGGTTTATTAGGTGAATTAAAAATCGGGCTATTTTAGGCTTCTTTATCTGAATGTACAATATAACTTTATTATCTATCCCCACCAGTAAATTACAAATTAAAATCCCAGCCCAAAACCTACTACTGTCCAGGTTGTTATGAGGATTAATATGTAAATTAATTACAGCTTTTAATGCATTTGGAGAAGGGTGATTTAGCTATTGTGCTGTTTGGTAAAACTGACAATCTTTCTCTGCCTTAAATTGTTGGGAAGAGTGAAGCTTTTGGGATTCAAGTGGGAAGGGAACCAGCAGTTTACTTCAGTAAGTTAAATTTAAGAAATTTGCTGAGACATTTTTGCCTTGCTCAGATTTCTCAGCTCTTTAAAGAATATGCATTATTTTTTTTTTGCTTCCTTTAATTTTACAAGTAATAACATGTTTATGGTGAAGACATTACATAAGCCAGAAAACAAATGACAAGTCTTCCACCTACTTTTTAAAATTCTAAAAAGAATAAGATCATAGTACATGTTTTGTTTCATAACACTTTTTTTTTCCTGTTTAACAGTGAAACAAGCACCTTATCACAGCAGTATATACTAATGTGCTTTGTTGTTATTTATGGTTGCATAGTATTCTATTGTATGGCTGTTTCATAATTTAAACTGAATTTTTGGACATTTGATTTGCATTCTTTTTATTATGAGCATCATAAAATACTAAAAGTAACTGTAGACATGTATTAAAAAGTTCTAAGCTTTGGTGGTTTATAGCAGTTGTGACTAATATTGAGTGCTAACTAGATATATGCCATGTCCTCTCTTTTTTTTTTTGGTATGTGCTTGGGTCCTTAAATACATTGTTGAGAATTATTTGCTTTATATTTTTCCTTGTGTTAAGAAGTCATATCAAAAACTATTCCTTTTTTTATTTGCTTTTTGTCTATAGGTTATAATAATGCAAATAATGGGTGCATGTGCCAGGCACTGGGCTAAGTAATTGAAAGTGATACATATAATCACAGCAGCCTTGTGAGGTAGGCTCTGTTGTTTGCAGTTGAGAAAATTGAGGGAACAGAAGAAACTAAATAATTTAACCTGAGGGTAGAGCCCAGGATGTGGACCCAGACCTGCTCCCCTTATCTGTGAGTGCCTTTGGGGGTGATACTGAATTTTAGCATAGCATTTCAAGTCATTAAAAGGACAGGATGTAGATTTCAGTCTTTTTTTTTTTTTTTGAGCAGTATTGTTTTCGTATAGAAAGATAAAGAGTTAGGAATGAATTCCTCCTGAACAAGTCACTTTTCCCCCTTCTCTCCTTTTCCCCCTCCCTACTTTATTTAGATGACTCTTTTAGTAACTACTATTTGCAGTGAATTGTGGGGATACTGAGACCAAGGAGAATGTGTAAACAAAGTAAATTTTTTCTTTTGAGATGTATGGGATTGCTGTCAAGCTCACAGATGTACTTTCAGAGGGTCAGACAAGGCTTCTTGAAAGAGGTGGGATTTGTGCCAGCAGATTTTTCTTTATGTTGTGAACTTTAAAGAATTGAGTAATTCTAAAATGACTTTGGAATGCGCACTGCTTAAGTACCTTCTGTGGTGTGATGCTAATTGTACACTCTCTGTGTGTGCTTGGTGAGCCTGTTTTTCCTGAGTAAATTTTAAGTTTTGTGTAAGCTGTGTAACATCTGTGTCTCTGTTTGGGTCCCCAGAGAGAGGCTGTTTCCTGACATTGCTGACATACTGTAGTGTTCTTGGGTAGTAGGCTACAAATACTCTTGTCACCTGTTGTATTTAATCATCTGGCACTGATAATGCGCCTTGTTGCATTGCTACTATCAACTATATATTGAAATCAATTCAAAAGAGAGAGGCGATTGAATTGATTGGAAAGATCTGATGTCATTTTTGTTTATGGGAGAAAACGCTTTGTGTATTATAAAACCAACTCAGTGTGTTTTGAACAAATAACTCATTGATTCATCTGTCAGTTGGTCTGTAACACAACTGTTTATATACTGTATTAGGAATTACTATTAAATTTAAAATCAGAAATAGAAAAAGTGGACACAGAACAGTTTGTGTTACCCAGAATGCTATATGCTAGGAAGTCCATAAGGATAAAACTCTGTAAGACCCAGTCTACTTATTCCATGGAATGTCCATTAAAATGTAATTTTAGAATGAGAAACTTACATAGTACAACGAACAAATTTGACCCAAGTGTATGGTGTTTGTATGGATATTTTTTTCTGAGTCATTCACTTAAGTATTTTGATATTAATAATTTGAGTTGTCATACTGTAAAAATCTTAGTGTAGTCCTATAGGATCTACCATTCTATGTTGGTATTGATCTAAAGATAAGAGTGTTTGATCAGATTGGAAGTTAGTCTTTTTGGTGTGTGAAGGGGGAGTAGGTTGCTTTAGTTTGGTGAACACAAACCTTTTGGTTTCAAGGCTCCTTTTCACTCTTAGAAAATGTGAAGAACCACAAAAATATAGATTATTATCAATAGTTGATGTATTAGAAACTGAGAAATTTAAAAATTAATTATTTACTAATCCATTTATAAATGACAAAACCCATTACATATTATGAAAAAGTAACTATCTGAATAACCTTGCAGTGACAGGTTCACTTTGTGAACATTTTCAGAAAAATGTCTGAATAACTTTAGGTTTTCAGTCCTTTCACCAAGTAAAAATAGTGTTCCATGAAAAAAGCTAGTTCAGCTTGCAGCTCGGTTGCACAAGTGCTTTTTCTCAGACTTCTTAAAGAAGCTAAAGTGCTTTATGCATACTTTTCCTTTTATCACACAGAATATTAAAAAATGTAATAAAATTACAATAAAATCAGTAATTTTCATAATTTCATTAGGACAATAAGTGGAACTGACTTTTTCTTTAAGTGAATAGAGAATATGATCCGTGACTGTTAGGTGCCTCTGCCTTGACTTGTGCCCAAGTGCCTGTAGTTTTGCTTAGCCTTGTTTTTGCATACTCATTGCAAATGTCAGTGTGGTGAAAAAAGGCAAATAGTGTTTCAGTATTACTGTGAAAAGAGGTTTTATTTTGTGGAACCCTGAAATGATCTCTGAGCTCCCAAGAAGTCCATAGACTGCATATGAAGGATAGCTGGCTTGGTTCTTCACATAGATTTATTTCCTTTTGCTTTCAGACCAAATAAATCAAAGGGGATAGAGAAGAGGCAAGGATGAAGAAGAGGGTTTTAGCTTGGGTTACTAATGAAAGCAATGCCATTACCTGAGATAATAAAACAGGATGAGGAGTGTGTTCGAAGAAGTAAATTTTGGATTTCAGGGAGCTTGAGGAACATAGACGTGGGACAGTTGACTACTAAAGCTCAGTAACTGTTTCTGAGTATTAGGAGGCCTCACCAGACTAGTTGTTGCCAAGAAAGTAGGTTGAAAGAGAAGAGGGAAGAAGGGATCTTGGTGTCAAGGACATCAAGAAAGGAGAATTTCAAGAATAGTCAGTACTACCTAATGCTGCTTTAGTGAAGTCAGACAGAATAGGGACTGAGACTTGGCCATTAGATTTGATAATGAAATTACTGGTAACCTTTTCCAGAGGAGTAGGCAGGCATAGGAGCCAGATTATGGAAGAGTACAGAGGCAGTTATTTATACTATTTCAAGAAGTTTTGGGGTAAAGGGAAAGAGACACATTGGGCAATTAATTTGAGAGGTGGGCTGTACTGAGAACAGTGAAAGAAAAGAAAATTGGTGAAGCAAACTGGTATTACAGGTGTGACTATGGGTGAGTTAGTCTTGTAGTGTGATCTCATGCAGGGAAATGAGAAGTGAATGAACACTGGATTCTCTGGCCAGAAAAATGCACAGACCTATGACATTTGGCATACATACTTTTTGGTAGGGATGGAGAGTTCTGTATTGATTCTTTTCTGTTTAATTGCTAGATGTTTAGTTTGATACATTTGCTTTAAATCCACTAATTTCAGGATGTTTTAAAGGGATTTTTCTTTTAAATGCGGATGCTTTAGCTTTAACAATTTGTGATTCTGTCAGAAAGGAACTTATGTTGTGGCTACTTTTTTTTTTAACTGAATATTTTTAAATTTATTTTTTATTAAGGTATTGATATACACTCTTAAAAGGTTTCACATGAAAAACTGTGGTTACTACATTGAGCCTTATTATCAAGTCTCCCTCCATACCCCATTGAAGTCACTGTCCATCATTGTAGTAAGATGATGTTGTTGCTACCTTTAATCTGTGGTAACAAGTGGCAGAAAAATGGGGTGGAGTTCTTTCTCTTGTGCAGGGATTGTCCCACCCCACCTCACATTCCTCCTCCATGAAGGATATTTGAGTCTGCAGAATGGTTTTGAGTGTTTTTCTTCTGGGGGCAGAGTTTGGAGCCTTAAGTAGTGTTTGTATTAAAAACATGTGTGTTGTTTTCTAATTTGCTTGTATTTCTAACTTGCTTTTCTTCTTTCTCTTGTAGTCTGTTCTCTGGGGAGGCAGTAAGGGGCTGTGGAGCTGGCCTTGGCACCAGGAGAGGCTGGACTTCCTGTCTCTCTGTGCTGAATGGCTGCGATGGCGCCCGCTCTCACTGACGCAGCCGCTGAAGCACACCATATCCGGTTCAAACTGGCTCCCCCATCCTCCACTTTGTCCCCTGGCAGTGCTGAAAATAACGGCAACGCCAACATCCTTATTGCTGCCAACGGAACCAAAAGAAAAGCCATTGCTGCAGAGGATCCCAGTCTAGACTTCCGAAATAATCCTACCAAGGAAGACTTGGGGAAGTTGCAGCCACTGGTGGCATCTTATCTCTGCTCCGATGTAACGTCTGTTCCGTCAAAGGAGTCATTGAAATTGCAAGGTGTCTTCAGCAAGCAGACAGTCCTTAAATCTCACCCTCTGTTATCTCAGTCCTATGAACTCCGAGCTGAGCTGTTGGGGAGACAGCCAGTTTTGGAGTTTTCCTTAGAAAATCTCAGAACCATGAATACAAGTGGTCAGACAGCTCTGCCACAAGCACCTGTAAATGGGTTGGCTAAGAAATTGACTAAAAGTTCAACACATACTGATCATGACAATTCCAGTTCCCTCAATGGGGGAAAACGAGCTCTCATTTCATCTTCTCTTCAAGGTGGTGAAGTGGTGGCATCTGAATGTGGGGACTTGAAGGGAGGTATGACCAATTGCACTCTTCCACATAGAAGCCTTGATGTAGAACACACAACTATATTTAGCAATAATAGCACTGCAAACAAATCTTCTGTAAATTCCATTGAACAGCCGGCACTTCAAGGAAGCAGTAGGTTATCGTTATCACCTGGCACAGACTCCAGTTCTAACTTGGGGGGTGTCAATTTAGAGGGTAAAAAGTCTCCCCTGTCTTCCATTCTTTTCAGTGCTTTAGATTCCAACACAAGGATAACAGCTTTACTGCGGCGACAGGCTGATATTGAGAGCCGTGCCCGCAGGTTACAGAAGCGTTTACAGGTTGTGCAGGCCAAGCAGGTGGAGAGGCATATACAGCATCAGCTGGGTGGATTTTTAGAGAAAACTTTGAACAAACTGCCAAACTTGGAATCCTTGAGGCCCCGGAGCCAGTTGATGCTGACTCGAAAGGCTGAAGCTGCGTTGAGAAAAGCTGCCAGTGAGACCACCACTTCAGAGGGACTGAGCAACTTACTGAAAAGTGATTCAATTTCAGAAGAATTAGAGAGATTTACAGCTAGTGGTATAGCCAACTTGAGGGGCAGTGAGCAAGCCTTCGATTCAGACGTCACTGATAGTAGTTCAGGCGGAGAGTCTGATATTGAAGAGGAAGAATTGACCAGAGCTGATCCTGAGCAGCGCCATGTACCCCTGTGAGTAAAACCCATGCAGAATTTCGTTCTTGAGAAATGTTGGGATAAGGGAGAAAAACTTAGTGAATTCCCATCGCAGGGAGAAAGGGGTTCTTTATATAGGTGCTTAGGTTCCATTTGTTGTTGTTTTTTATGCAGGTGGGTGCAAATATACCTGCTAGTGAAAAAATGGAAGATATTTCTGGTATAGTGTTGTGCTTCTGTAGGCTAATAGCTGCTAATTTCCTTTTGAAATCTTACTAAGTAAAAACTACAAGACATCCTATTGGTAAAGCTGTATACTTATTTCAAAAGAATAATTAGATACATTCTGAAGCTGCATGTAGGATGTTTTTTGTAAGTTTCTATGGCTTGTCTTCAGCTTTTGTTTCTAATAAGTGGGGACAAAAATTTAGTTGACCCAGTTAACTTGGCTGAAATTTATAGTTGCTTTTAATTGAGCTTTCAGCAGAGAGTATTCCCAGTCTTCAATTTGAACACTTGTCAATACCCTTATGTTTTAAGGACCAATAATCAGAAAATGCTTCAGAGTATTTTAATAGGTTGCCCCCAAACACAACTTGATTCTCTTCCTAATAGAGCCCATCTATCAGATTTGGATTTTATTTTCTCTCAGCTAAGTTAAATGTATTGACATATTTGGGATAAATTTTTAGTGGTTTTCCAAATCTGTTTGAGGAGAATTATGCCAAGCTTTCCGTGGCACTTCATATTGGCATGGTGGAGACAGAGGTGCTCATGTTCTTTGCTCCTAATCCTGCATTCAGCTCCTTACAGATAAACAAGGGACTACAGTATATCTCCATAACAAAGAATCAGTCTTCCTTTATCCACTTCTAAGTATTAGACTTAGGAGAGAGGGAAACATGAGTAGTTGAACAAGAGGGGCAGAAGAGTTGACTAAGTAGGTCCTCTTTCATTTCCTCTTTGGGTAGGGATATTATAAAGGTTGGATTATTGAAGAAGGCTGAAATAGGTGGCTATGTTGGAATAATTGTTCCTTGGCTGTAGTAAAAAGTTGACTTAAGATTTTCACTGGAGATTTCATTCAGACAGCTATGATTTTAAGCAGAAATAAATTTCCTTTTTTGTTGATTTTTATATTGCCACATGGATGACACTGTGAAATTTGGTTTATGTTTCAATTTGAGGGGAAAGGCATGGATAATTTTGCTGAATCACTTCTTTGTAGCCCTAGTTTCATCACCATTAGTTAGTTTATGGCACTGGAGTATACTTCTGTATATACATGTTTTCTATTGCTGTAATATGTTTTTTCCTTAAATGGATTAGTAACAAATTAGCTTGTCAATATTTGTGGCATTATCCTCACTGACTGCTGCATAAACCACTGCTTTAAAAAATCTTGGTTAATACTGAGTATTTTGTGTTTAAGAGTAATTTCACATAACAAATAGTGTAGTTGGAGCATTTTAAGTTTCATGTATTATTTTGTGTATTTGAGAAGAAAACAATCTGTAAGTTACTGTTTTGTTTTTATTTTTTTTATTAAGGTATCATTGATATACACTCTTATGAAGGTTTCACAAGAAAAACAATGTGGTTATTACATTCACCCTTATTATCGAGTCTCCCCCATACCCCGTTGCAGTCACTGTCCATCAGTGTAGTAAGATGCCACAGAGCCCCTATTTGTCTTCTCTGAGCTACACTGTCTTACCCATGACCCCACACACCATGTGCACCAATCATGATACCCCACAATCCCCTTCTCCCTCCCTCCCCACCTGCCTTCCCCCACCCCTCCCCTTTGGTAACTACTAGTCCCTTCTTGGAGTCTGTGAGTCTGTTGCTATTTTGTTCCTTCAATTTGCTTCATTTGTTATACTCCATAAATGAGTGAAGTCATTTGGTATTTGTCTTTCTCTGCCTGACTTATTTCACTGAGCATGATACTCTCTAGCTCCATCCATTTTGTTGCAAATGGTAGGATTTGTTTGTTTCTTATGGCTGAATAGTATTCCATTGTGTACATGTACCACATCTTCTTTATCCATTCATCTACTGATGGACACTTAGGTTGCTTCCATATCTTGGCTATTGTAAATAGCGCTGCAATAAACATAGGGGTGCATATGTCTCTCTGAATCTGTGATCTTGTTTTCTTTGGGTAAATTCCTGAGAGTGGAATTCCTGGGTCAAATGGTATTTTTATTTTTAGTGTTTTGAAGATCCTCCATATTGCTTTCCACAATGGTTGAACTAACTTACTTCCCACCAGCAGTGTAGGAGGTTTCTCCTTTCTCAGCATTCTCCCCAGCGTTTGTTTGTAAGTTACTGTTTTTAGGATACATTGCATTATAAACATTTCTAAGTTAATACAGTGGGTAACTGTTTCAATCCAGTGAAATCAAAATACCTAAGAGAGAACTTTCCTTATTTGGTGGGATAATCTAGTAATTTGAGACAACTTCATTCAGTCACTGTTTAGTTCTGGGCATTCTCACATAAAGGTTTGTTGATTGTAAGGGTATAAAATATAAGGACAGCTAACATCACTTTAGGAAACTTCTGGGGATCAGTTGAATCTTCTTAACAAGTCAACTAAATGATGCTTTTAAAATTCGAATTTCCATGCATCAGAACATACTGAATTAAGGAAAATTTGGGCTAAAAGTACTGTCAAATAAATAGTTTTGCATATTATGATATAATTGAATTTAAATTAAAAGCACCAATAAAGCATAAATACTTTAAAGTTCTTATTGAGCAAGGTCACCAGATAGGCCAGATATTTATTTGTTGACCTTCTTAGTATTTTAAAGGTTTTCAGCAGTTGGCAGCAGAGAGAATGGAAGCATTACTTTGATTAAAGAAAGAAAAAAACAGGAGGGGAAATTTTTCGGCATCCAGAAGTCTTTTCTTCATGATTAAATAGTTCCTCCCAAATCTTATTACCTTATTTATAATTTTTTAAGTCCTAGAAAGTTAACTCTTCAGGAGCTTGACCCAGCTGGGGAGTTTCAACTTTTCCCCCTTCCAGTAGCCTGTTTAATATTGCACTCCTTTGCTGAAGTACTTCTGCCTAGGTTTAGTCTAGGCAGCTGTGATGAAAGTATTTAATAGTGAAAACTGTTGAAATAAACTGTTTTTAAATCATGTTGCTTAAATTATGAGTGGATGGTTCTGTGAAAAATGATAAACCTTCACTAAGAATTCATTTGTGTGTGTGTTTTTTTCTTTCCTACCTGTAAGAGGAAAAGCAATGATCCATTGTAAGGCCTAGGCACATGTTAGGAGTAGCAGAATGATTGATTTTTACATGTTCTTGGATTTTTGGTAAATTATGTGTTTGTCATTGTGTTATACTTCACAGTAAACTCTCATTTGATGAGACATGTTAGAGAAGTTCCTTTTTCTTAAAGTTTTTTTTTAGTTATCTGATTTTACGTTCAAACTTTTATTTTAAGCTCTTGGAAAATCTTCCTTAAATGTTTTATATATCTTCCTGTTTTTGTATAGATGTAAACAATTAAAAAATTCTGCACTATATTGGGTTTCAGCTATATAATTGTTCAGTAAAATAACTGGAAAGGAGCAGGAATTTAAACATCATCTCCTTGATTGAAAGAAGAGCATGCAAGCTCTGTGTTTCAGTAAATACCTTAACGTTTCTTAACTGTAGACATAAAAATAAAAGCTTAGCTCTCTAGTATGTGCGTAACAGAACTATTGAGTGAGGGCATGTGCGTGTGCCTGTGTGTGCTCTCTCTTTAGCTTTTCTTTTTTTTATACTCTCTACCCTCTAAGAGTTTGTTGTGAATTCCTGGACCCATACCTCATTTTGCTAAAGTGGGTTTTCATTTTCTGGGCCCCTGTGCTTATAAACTTCTGGCAACCACTTGCTGTTAGGAAAATAATTTTTTTCAAATACTTCCTTAAATGTTTTCTTAGATCAGAAGTGTTGTGAGTACCTGCATATTATGTAGACCTTGCTTCCCTTAAAAAAAAAAAAAAAGTATTTTTTTTTCCTTCCTTAACTGTATATGCTTATCTTGATGGTCAGTCTAAAACATTTCATTGTGCCTATTGAAATATATGTTGTCTTAGGTATGTTAAATATATCTTTATATTACACAATATCTTCTTAGAACTTCAGCGAGAGTGCTGTGCAACCAAGAGTAATTATTTTTCCTAAGTTTCAAGTCTGCTTTTATTGCCTGGATGCTCTAATTTTTGTTGTTCATTAGGTTTCTATTTTCCTATTGGCTTTTGGAAGTTTAGAGCCGGCTTGTAGGTCATATTGTGTAGTACCTTTTTCTAAGCTTCATGTTTGGCCTTGTTTTAGTTTTCCCTGGTTTTGTTTTTCATATTTTTGTTTCTGGCTTGTTTTATGCTAACCTATGCTTTATTAGCTTGATAGCTTTCTGAAATCTGCTCCAGATCAGGGTTGGATAAAAATAAACTAGATGCTCAGTTTAGTGACACTAGGAAAATTATTTAGAGTTTGCATTGTCTTGATTGCATTGACTTTACTTCTGAGGATTTCACTCTCTTGGAGTTGCTAATGAAAATTTCAAGGTATAATGACTTACTAGTGTGCTTGTACGGTTTGCTTTTTAGGTATTCTGGAATGCTTTGTGTTGTAGTCCGTTGAATTTATTAAGCATGTACATGATGTTGCCAGTGGTGGCAGTTAACTTGATTTGTCCTTATTTTCCTATTCCTTATCCTTACAGGGAGTGATGAAGTAAGAAATAATAGCCATGAGACCTAAAATGTCACCCTTCTTTGCTACGAACTAGCTATAGGAGTAATCAGTCATGTAGCCACTTTTGTAATACAAACATGGGAATTGAACTATATGATCTCTAGAGCTCAGGCTACTTTGAATTATAACTACACATCTTTGGAGCTGTTTTCAGCACCATTTTTTTGCATTTGGGGAAGCTGAGGCAGAAGTCCTTTAAAGTCCCTAAGCTTCAAGTCTGCTTTTATTGCCTGGATGCTCTAATTTGTGTTGTTCATTAGGTTTATAT